GTGTGTGTGTGTGTGTGTGTGTGTGTGTGTGTGTGTGTGTGTGTGTGGCTCTGGCCTGACTTGCCACTGCTTTGATCTCTGGGCCTCAGACTCCAGACACATCTGATTCAATTATCCTCATCCACCTGTTGACTTAGAGGCCCAAGATTGCAAAGCTTGGCCCGCTTATCCAAGTTTCGTGTGCGTGCGTGTGCGTGCACAGACAAACCAGTTTGTGAGAGAGAAGGAGTGAAAGACTCCCCCAAAGCTAAAGTCAGAAGGGTTTTATTTGAAATTCTTTATCATAATTAATTATAAATTAGTCATACAATATTAAATCCCTAACAGTATTGTATTGGTCTTTGATAGTGATCGTTTTCTTTTTTATATTTGAGTTATTTATGCACATCTGTCCCTCATACTTATTGTAACTGTGCATCAGGACTTTGATGGTTCAGTTCATGCATTTATAACACATTAATTACAACACATGGCATGTCACTGAGAGACTACCTGGTGTGTGAATGGACATCACACCGCCCCAATGTCATCAACTGTAGAATGTAATTATTACATAATAGTATACGGCTCCAGAACTCTGTGCAGCATCAAGAGTGGATATTGTAATTCTTCTCTTAAATTAATTAATCATAAAAACATGGCTCAGAAATAATCTGACTTTCACTGAGCTTCCCCCTAATTCAGTTATCAAAATATTATACCGAGCAATTTATTACAACATCACTGTCCACACAGCTGAATATAGCTTTAAACAATACCCAACAATTATTTTATAAAGAGCAACACATTTCAGGTACATGGCACGATTTTAGCCAGCCTTTACTCTTTACTTTAAGGCGTGTTCCCTAAATTGAGGGATTTGAGGTTTTAAGACTCGAATAACAAACACTGTTTGCACAGATATCCCTCCTGCTCTATATTCAGCAGTCTTTCCAGAAACCTCACAGCTACGGTGCTGTTCCTCCACGAGATAACACTGCCTGTGACAAATGAGGTTCAAAATTCTAACTTCCACAATCCTAAAAACGATTACACGGGAGGAAAAACGAGCGCCCATAGGCTCCGTGATGAGTGTGAAACAGCGGCCTCTAGAACGTGACTTGATGTCTCTATTAGATGACAGCGTGTGTTTTTCTTCTTCTTCATTGTTGTCCTACATCCTTCCCTCTCCTCTCACATCTTCATTCAATTAGCATTAGTGGGCCATTAGTGTCTCATGTGCCTGCGCCTAATGAGATAGTGAGCTCAGTTATGCCTTTTGTGAGTGTGGTAAAATGAGAAGTGTGTCCGTATTGTGTGCCAATGAATATAATCAGTTTCCCTGTTAAGCTCCGTGATGGACCAGATAATGATGAGACCGTGATTGAGGTGTATGATTATAAAAGGATTTTACAAGCCGTAGACCGGTGCCCCCGCGGGGCCGTCCGTGGAAACAAAGTGATGTATGGCAGAGACGTTTATTGTTCGGATGGGATGAAATGCAGACCACAAACCATGCAACCAATGCCAGATGTTGATCTGTGTAAATAGCGAGGCTGGCTGCCTACGCAAGCACATTCATATGCAAACAGAGGGACAAAAGCAGACACACACACACACACATTGTACTGTAGGGTAACCTCTCACACGTTTCTTTCTTTTCTCTTCCAGGAGAACACTGTTTGAGGAAAAGTCTCCATCGCGACCGGCGTCCTCCAGTCCGCTCAAACAGTCGCCCAAACATGACGCCAGGATGGTTGGTTCATCACCGCGTTTCAGACCCGTCAACCACTTCCCTGCCATACTGGTCTTAAAGGGACAGTGCACCTCAAAATCCAAAAATGCATGCGTTTCAAAGAGAACATTTCATTTCACAAACCTTTTTAATTTTGTCATTTCCATGACACACTACAGGTAAGAGGAGAAATAATGTAGGTTTGATTTTGAGGTGAACTGTCCCTTTACACATTGAAATATTACCACTAAATCCGCCGGTGCCAAAACAAATACTGGCCACAATGTTTTGCTTTCTTCTTCTTAATGTCGACCAATTTGGAAATTCTTGAACTCATTTCCCCATGAAGCCAGAGGAATTTCCCTGAACTCGTAAGTTTCTGGTTCAAGCAGCAAAAATGCAGCTACTAGTGGTGATCACAACGCATCCGACAGTAACATACACTTTTTGGGGTTTGTGGTGCTGTTTCATTACATTATGTCATACTGAGGTGTTTCTGTTATTCTGTTTTCTGTTCTAACTTTGGGAGAAAATTGTTTGTTCACGTCGGACTGCAAAGCTGATTTAGAAATGTGTTTTTCGAGGCTTTTATTGTGTCATCAAACCACCACACATCTACCGAACACCTTCATGGTAAAAGACAGATGTGCAGTTCATTTCATCAGTGGCCAAAAGCGTTTGAGGCCGTTCGTACTTATCAGTGTTTAACACAATGCGTTGAAGTCCTGGTTCGATACACGGACGGTGACACTTTGAACAGCCAGCGACCCGCGTGCTCGGCATTCCTAGATATTGAAATGAAACGTTGACTCTGTTTGTTCGAGGGCGAGGCTCTGGGACCGTAATGCCTTTTTAATCAGAAGGGGGGCATTTATTCTGGAGCTATTCATCCAGCGATTCCTCTGTCAGTGCAGTTCCGCTGAGGTACACCCAAGGTCCACACTCCGCCAGATCCTAATCAAATCAAACAACATCTCTCCTTTCCCTATCGCTCCCTCAACTTTATTAGATATTTCCCCACCCCCCCCATTTCAACCTTGCCGCCCCGACTTGGACTTGAGTAAACTGATCTTTGTATCAACAGAACCCCTGGAAGCATTGGAATTACACTGTATAAAGCAAATCCGGAGGCCCCGTTGTAACAAAAGGCTGGGGAAAACAAGGATGACAGGCGGTTAAGCTGCGTGTGCCCCTCTTGTGGAATTTACTGCATGACGGAAATGATGTGGAACTGCCAAACATCTGGAGCGCTGTATGTGAGAGGGAGGAGAGCGAAGAGTGGAGGAGATGGAGATAACGAGGGAGTAGAAAGCTGTTAGCGCAGGAGGAGAACACATGTGGGTGTACTGTATATCTGTAAAAAGAAAAAACGTTTTGTTGTTGCCAAAAGAGGAATTATGTCGTGTCAAAAATGATAACCTCCATCACTTTCTGCCGTTTGCTTCCTGAGGCCAAAACTTCCGATCAGAGAAATCATTTAAATTCCCTCCTCTAATTTATAACTTCATTTCCATTTTAGTGTCTGCTGTTTACACGCTCTTACACTCTTTTGTTTTTTTTATCCTCAGGTGGATGTGGGGCTGAAGGCGGATATGTCTCCCGGTGACAGTGACCTGGAGGCTCGTCTCAACAGCTGGAACCTGGGGGTGAGTCCGGAGGCATTCCTTGAGCTTCTCGGTTTACATGCAGCTGTCATTGCGCTGCAGCTCATCCACAGTTACAGTGACTCTGATCGCTTGAGCTCACGAGTACACAATAAATCAATAGGGCCATGATGCCTACACAAAGCTAAACAAAAGGGGGTAACAACCACTTCACCTATGTCCTCTTGGAACCACTTCCTTTAGCCAGCTCCTTGCTATTGTAGGACGTGAGGGTCTTACAGAAGGCTTGTGTAAACTTGAGTATTTGAAGATGAGTGCGCCGCTCTTATCTACTCAGGCTGGAGTGCACCAGGCCAGGGCTTGATAAGCACTCTGCCCTCATGTCTTTTATTCCCTTATTTGTTCCCTATCTCCTCACCAGCATGACCTTCACTCGCTCTCTTTTTTTTCTTCTCCTTGTCGCCTCAGTCCTCTCCTACCCATGTTACTCATGCAGATGTTTTCCACAGCACAGCCCCTCTCTCTCTTTTTCTTAACTGTTCCTCTCTGTTCTGCTATTGTTCTAGCTCTCTCTCTCTCTCTCTCTCTGGCCCTTCTGTCCATCCGTCTACCTCTCTCTCCTCCTCGCCCCCCTCCCTCGCTTTTCAATTCTCGGGTAATCTGAGGTATCTATCAGCAGACGTGAAGCCGTGCACTGCCCCGCTCTGCACTCGTCTGTGTTGAGACGCTGATAAGAGGCATTGCCTGGCAACGCTCCCCCAAGCCTGCATCTTTCAAATCAACAGATGTTCTTTCACACACACACACACACACCAACCCTCTTCAAGTTTACAGAAGTTTTATAGATGCACTGCTTCAAAGCGCCCGGCTCTGACGAAATTTGAGCACAACCGAGCATCACTCGATCAAGAACATCTTTAGCTTTGCTTTAGATCTTCTGAAGCGGTCCATATCGGTTTGTTCATTTCACCCCAAATGCAATAACGTCTGTGTAGTCAGCACGTTGGCCATGCTGGACAGTAGACAGTAGATTGCTTCAGGCTCAGACAGGAGTTCCAGCTACTACTTGTTAAGAGTTGTATCTCTTAATGGCACTTTGCTTACTTTTTTCCCCATCCAGAATTCAACGGTATTCCCCCTGCCACTTTGGGGGCGTCCATTGTCTGCGGTTCAATGGGTGTGCTGACGGCTCGCTCGACGCTAGTCCGAAAACGAGGACGCCATCAATCACCCGCGTGTTTGTTTGGCTGGAGAGCCGGTGCCTTGTGATGTGGCGCGTTCCTCTTCTGCGTCCGTCCAAACATGTGCACACAGGAGCGTGTGTGTGTGTGTGTGTGTGTGTGTGTGTGTGTGTGTGTGTGTGTGCGTGTGTGTGTGTGTGTGTGTGTGTGTGTGCGCGCGCACACAGGCACATACGTACGTGTGCAACCAAATCCAAGTTTAGTATCACTCTGCTGTGCCAGCATTACACCACAGCATTTAGTCTACATGGCTGCCTTGCCCTGTGGGCCGTGCTCAATCAAATCTGATGACTGGCTGTAAAAATAAATCACATTCTTGCCTGGGCTCTAGTTTAGAGGGATATTGATTGATTCATCACTTGGTAAATATGGATTTTTTTTTTTTTTTTTTTTTTTTTCCAGTGCCAAATTTAAAAAGCAACTCATCACACGTTGTGGCACCGCTGCTGCTGCTCTGCACTGACTATGTTGACTGGTCTGGTCTCGTGCGTGTGTGTCTGTGCACGTGTTACAGTTTGCGGTAAATCTGATTGTAGTCAAGCCGGATGTCTTCTTTTGTTGAGAGCTTACAGTATGTCAGCTAACAAAATGTCTGACCTGTTTTTACCTGCATCACGACTAAGTCGGGAGGCAGACGCCGCCTTTCATCTGTTGTCGCTGTCGCCGGCTCGCCCTGAATCAACAGATTGCGACTTCATCCTGGTATAGTAGCTGTAACCGTTTCACTGCCACGCTTTGAGGTTGTTTTTAGGTTCCGTTCATCCTCCGTTCCTTCTGGATTGGCTTCGTGTGGGTTGCGCCACCTCGCAACATTAAGTCCTTCTTCATTTAACCGCAGCTGAATAAGTCCCGCGCAACCCTCCTCCTCCTCTTCCCCCTTCATCCCCATGTTAACCAGATTTGCAACAGAAGTGTTTACTGTGCGTCGACGCTGTCATCTCCAAACGTCGCCGTCACTGCTTTTGAAAGGCCGCGATCTTGCCGCTAGTTAGCAGCCCCCCCCAATAGACAGCCTCGGTGCTTGAGAGGGAAACGCTGTGTGATGGTGTGAGTTCACAAGGAAAATAATGGGGTCATAAACAAATGTGGAATAGTGGCAGGAAAATAGCAAGTTGTCAAGACGGAGGTATTTTTGTAGTTTGTTTCACAGTCAGTGAGCTGTGTTGATGTAAAGCTGCGGAGTCATTCGGAGTGTGACCCCTTTGTGTTCAGGTTAGCAGCTCACTCCCCCCCCCCATCTCTTGTGTTTCATATTATAATCAAAGGACATGCCGTGTCAGTGTTTGGCAAGAATGTAAACGCATTTGTCTCCGAGTGACGGTAAACGCACCGGGGATAGCTCACAGATTAGTGGGCCTGAGTGTTGACAAAAGGGCCGTGTTGGGACAGCAAAGGCGGGCTGAGAGCGGAAACCCCAGCCGGCCACACACACACACACACACACAATGCCTTGAAGTCGCCCGACGCGTTCTGTCTTTCTAAACAGACGAGAGTCGACGGAAGAGACTCCGGCCGCAGCACCGAGCTTTTGATGTGTTCTCCGCATTGTTTATGACAAACTAAGGGCGGAGGTTGCATTCTGCTTGTGGTGGTAAGGCTTTGTTAGGAGAAGAAGCAGACAAAGGGACGTCTAAGGTTCTTCTGTTTACTCTTTCAGATTGAAAACCCCAGGTATTTGCGAGAGAACCCCGATCCCTTCTCTGCGGTAAGTTTTCTCTCTTTTTTTTTTTTTTTTATTGTTACGTATACAAAAAAGTGCCTCCTCAGTCACCTCATCACCTAATCTCCCTCCTCTTTATCTCTGTAGACTTTCAAGCCGAGTTTCGGGAGGAACAGCACCCTATTGGATGATCAGGGCCCACAGCTTTCACACAGCAAGGAGGTGTACACCTCAGTAAGAGCCCTTAACAAACCCCCCAAAAACACACTACCTGAAAGCTTCTGTGTGATGAACATCAGAACTTGTTAATGCTTCTCTTTTCCACATCCAAAGGAAAGAAAATGTTCATTCCAATGAGCCTAAACTCTCGCTCCTCACAGTTCAGTACGCTCAGCATTTGTATAGAAGCAAGTGTTGAACACACGCAGGAGTCAAAGGTCAAAGCTCTCTTGACTGCTTTATGGCCCCTTACAGCCGTTCACATCCAGCTCTGCGCATAGTTTGTATTGTTGAAATGGCCAGCGTTCCTCTTAGAAGACAAAAATGATGCCGGCTCCCAGTGATGACAGTTTTTTTCCTTATGTGGATTTAAGCTGAAAATCCCATTCTGTAAGCACACTTTGAAGTCCCAGCTCCTCCCTCCCTTCCACTCCCTGCCCTTTCTCCCCCACCCCCCCCCCCCTCCCCCCCCCCCCCCCCCCCTCCCCATCGGCCTTTACCCGCACTGTTAAATATAAAACCGAGCATGACTTGGCTGTACTAGCCGTGGCTTTTCATGTCTGCTTGGGGGAAAGCGCTCCAGTCAGCTAGATGGGCTTCACTGGGAGAGAAAGGGCAGAGAGAAAGGAGACGTGATGGACTACAAGTGTGTTGCTTATTGACTTTGTCATTCACATGCATAGACAAACACACACACACACACACACTCCTCCGTACACATCCACCCACGTCGGCCGGTCTACCTGTGGTTTGATATTGAGTGTAGCAGCACCAATACGAAGACATTAAAGCCACGTCCCATGCTGTTTGATCCTGCCTCAGACGAGCTGACCGGCTACATACTGCTGTGTGTTGTAGGGAATATGAATTTATCACCTCTCGGAAGACCGTGTTCATCCTCTGCACCAACTTTACTTTGATACACACAGAGTTCCCAGTTAATTAGTTACTCCAGTACAAACTACAGTATCTAATTCAACAGCTCTGCTGATTATGTTTATACTGAGGCAGAAGCTGTTCAGGAAAGTCACAGAGAAGCATTGGGAGGGACACATTGGGAAATTAGAGGAAATGGTGCAGAGCCGGAGTATTCGTCCCCGTGGTGCTCAGGTTTGTGCCCTTTGCCTGCTTCGTTTCTGATGTATTCTTCCATACACAGAAGGTAGAGTTTTATTAGAATTAAAATACAGCTGTAGGGAAAATGTGAGTGAAAAAGGAGACGTGTCCATGCATTGAAAGAGAGACCGTTAAAAGTGTGTCGCGGCCTTACATTCTATTCCTCCAGGACTTATAGACGTCACCGCCAACAGACTGTGCTCGTGCTTTTTAGCCATGTTAGCGGCTCTGCTTTTTTTGGGATGGCAATTTCAGCCGGTCGTGTGCTCCTCCCATTTGTCCCAGACTGAATTATCTCGGCAACTACCGGATTGATTGCCATGATTTTGACATTTGTTTTCCCAGAGGATGAGTCATATTGACTTAATTATTCTCTGACTTTTTTCTCTAGCGTCACCAGCAGGTCAACGTCTTCACTTATCCTGCGAATTATCTCGACATCTGCTGGACAGATTGGCACAAAATTTGGTGCAGACATTAATGATTTCCAGACGATGTACCCTACGGATTTTGGTGGCCCGCTGACTTTGCCACTATGATGTCGGCAGTTGTATTCTTTGGTAAAATATTGGATGGGTTGCCATGAAATTGGCTAAACGCGTGCATGTCCCCCTCTGGATTCTAATCTCAATGGTGATCCTTCTAACTTTTCATCTAGCCACCATCTGGTCAAAATGTTGAAGTTGTCCAATACTTTATGGTTCATGACCTGCAAATCTAATGACATTCCCATCAGCCGTATGCAGAACCTTCTCTTGAACTCCGCTGTATTGTGCCAGTGCATCTCCCATTCCCATTGTGAGGTTCTGGGAATTCCCTTTCGACTGCACCCTCTGCCCCATAAAAGAGGAATCATAATAGGTCTGTGGTTTATGACGTGCTATTATAAAGCCCCTTTTACTTCTGGTGTTTAAAATTTAAGATGGCCCCACTGATCATGTGTCTTAAGTCGGGAACTCTGAACCCCACAGGACACAGCTGTTACCACACACACACAGTACTTTTCTATAGAAGTGACTTGAGTCACCAGTCCCACCTTCACCGTGTCATCCTCAAAAGCCACATCAAGCTTTCCTGCAGAACCGTTTGAGGCCTTGTCCAACCCCTGCCGTTGCGTGGCTGTCTAGGCCCAGTCCAGGAAATCACAGTGACATCACTGCCCCTTAATCCTGAGAGCCTAGTTGAAAATTTACCCAGGTTTAAAGCGTTATATGCGCCACATGTTCATTAAGCTGGCGGCAGCTTAACGAACATCTCCGCTTTCACACCAAACTCATCAGCTTCTGACTCGCGTTGATAGGAATGCTGACTGCTCTTTTCCTACGGAGCAACGAGCGGCAGCTGAGAAGCATTGCTTTGAGTCACTTCGCTTAGACAGCGCGTTTGCTCATGGGCGAGTTGTGGAAAGTGTCTGGCGGGGGGGGGGGAGCAACGAGGTCCCGCTAATCCGTCAGCACGCCCTAGAAGTGCTCAGCGTTATGAGGGCTGGGTCTTTCTTCGGAAATTCAATAAAATGGCGACTGATGAATTAGACTCAGCTATAAGCTCGAGTTGTGCGAGTGCAGAAGAAGATGCCGAGCAGCTGATTAAAGCACCCCGTTCTTTCTTTTAAAGCTTGCATGTGATTGCGTGCGTGCTGTCTTCAAACTGACCCCTTTGGTAGCTGACCTGAGGGACTTGAGTGTCTTCGTATCAAGCAGCCACACTCTAATGGTCACGAGCCGCTGGCTGGGGATCAGATCCCTTTTGCTTTCTGTTGCCGTAATGATGCCGTCTCTCTAATCTAAGGATCCTCTGGGACGGAGCTCTCGGCCTGTGATTCAGAGGGCCGGAGCCTTTCGTATCTGAACCTTTTTCAAAGCTAAAGAAAGAGCAAGCTAGTGAGCCTCCGTAGTTTAAAGGGGACCAGTTCCTAAGACTGATCCAGGCTGAGAGACGCAAGAGACCAACCATGTTCCATAATGATACAGCTCTTTCAAGCCATTCTGTACTTGGTTCTTATGTACTTGATGTATTTGTATCAGCAATTTTGAGTAGCAATCTGCGTACTTTACTCTGTGCCTGGAACTACCCTTTTCTTGAAACTATGACGGTAATTCTTCCACACATCAGATATTCAAACGTTCTTTATCCGACCTTACTATGTGGATAGACTGCAGTAAATGAACTCCTCGTCAGCGTGTGGCGGTGACATGGAGCTGCTCCTCAGTAGATAGCAGAACGCTGTGCACCGACTATCCTTCAGTGTCTGTGTTTACCGAGGAGGAAGAAAGACGCACCGGGGCATCGCGCGTCTCCGGCAAAGACGGAAAGAGACGCAAATATGCTTTGTGGAGCCCAAACAGTTAGCAGGTGATTTGTGAACACGTCCCTCTGAGGAAAAAGGCCTTGACCACCCCCCACACACACACACACACACACACACACGGCGGTTTTGAGAGCAGAAAAAGCAGCTGTTTCCATCTTCTCCTTGCATTCCATCTCCCCTTTCTTCCCTCCCACCCTCTCGTCCTTTCATGAGCGGAGTGTCAAAAAACATGGCATCTTACAGCGCTCGGTACAACTCTGAAGAAGAGAAGAGGGGGAAAAAAGGTGTCGCATCCAGTCGGGCTGATTGAAGGCATCTCAGACGCCTTAGGTGTACGACATCCCTCCTCCTTCCTTCCTTCACTGACGACTTTATAAACAAGTTTCAAACGCTCCTGATCTAGTTTGACAAACTTTCTCCAAAGAGCTTTTGAAGAGAGGATGAGAAAGTGACTCCCCCACATGTGCTTTTTTTTGTTGTTTTTTTGTTTGGGGGTGCCAGCAGAATCGGGTCCCCACTTTCTCGTCTTCTTTTCAATCACTGCCATCTCTCTCTCTCTCTCTCTCTCTCTCTCTCTCTGACAGGTCTCCTGTGGTCGCCTCAATCGCACACGAAATGGTGGTAAACCAAGAAAAGAGATAGCATATAAAGAGAGAACACTTAACGCAGCTTTGTCAAGGATGAAGAGTACATGTCGCTCAAGTGCAGTAATGGGGAGAGGCATCTCGAAGGAAATTTCACGTGTGTTAGTTGTACTTTTATTTATTTCTACTCAGACTGATCATCCAACATTCAGTGCTGACATCTTAACAACATATATAACATTGGTTATATCGATGCCACCATTTCAACACCAACGCATGCAGATTTTTTTTGTCAAACATCCAAAATGCCTGTCCTGTATTGTATCAATATTTAACACACTTAAACACACCGTAATTGAATATTATTTTTAATCAGGCCATCATCACAGCTGTTCTCCCTTTTTTGATTTTTTTTTTTTACCCAGAGAAGGTGTAATGTGGTTTTGACTGTGCCAAGCAATGTCATGGGGATTTTCTACTTAATTGTTTTGATGACTAGAACAAACAAGAGCTAGCCCCGGGATATTGTTAACCGCTGACATGTTCACACACACACACTGCCGCACTTTCAAAGGAGGAACATTGTCACCCTGCTGCAGGGTTGATTAACACGCTAGAACAGACGCTGACTAAACATGAGTCGTGACTTCAAAGTGAATGGTCAGCCATATTTCTGTCTACGCTTCTCTCCGTCTTGCCGTGCGTTGTGTGTGTTTGTGAGTGGAGACTTCTTCTGGGTAATTTGTAGCAAACTAACTAGAAAGAGTTGTGAGAAACAGGATGAGAAAAGCCCATTGTTTTAGGAAGCAAATGTGATTTACATAAGACGGAATGATCAAAATATACTGCTTTTATTTTACATAACTCCGGCACACCCTCGGGCAGAGTTTTACTTTTTTAGCCCCACTAGTCGTAAAGCTTCTGAGTCGAATAGAAAATGCGTAATGAGCGTTTCAGTCCCACAAGGCCGCTGTCCTCGGCTGGAGATCGTGATATTTCTGACTAATATTCTCACGCCCAGAGATGTGATAATTATTTCCAGTAATGATGAATGACTAATCAATCATTTTGTATGAAGAGACCACAGAAGAATTGGTTAAATTTTTTTTTTTTAAATTTGGCTGTAACCGTGAAGCCGTCTGTTAGGAGATCTCCTCCAACATGCACATGACAGCGCTGAACCTTTGATCCTCTGAAGACACCGTGTTCAAATGAAGACAGCCACTCTCTTAATGATTAACTGCTGCGTGTACTCAGGAGTGCATGCTGGCTGCCACTTTGTTGTGCTTACTACAGACTGGCATGTACACACACAAAAACACACACAGTTGAACACATCTAAGCTCCGCGCTGTGTGTTTTTTGAAGCTCTGCACACGGATACATGTTTTAAAATGTTAATGTGGTTTATTTCATCATCAGCTGTGCTTGTGTGCAAGACGGGACACACTATCTCCTTTCATCCAGATTCATGTTATCGCTTTCATCCTGTCACACTATATGATGCTTTTTTTTTTACCATGACATGTCTCTAAGATAGAAAGTTCTGGCACGGATCTCAATGTTTAACTCCCTCGAACAGAATTTGTTACTTGTGTTGCTTTGTATTAAGTAATATTTTGTGTTTACCAATTTAGTTTGCCGTTAAAAGTGCTCCAGAAGGCCATATAGTGTTACATAGATCGATAGATAGTTACTTTATTAAGTACATATGTGACATTTGGTTTTCTATGTGCTTCCAGACTGAGATGAAGATCAAAGTCCTGGAGTCCAAGCACCAGGAGGAGAAGTTGAAGATGCAACAGAGACACGATGCAGATGTTGAGAAAGTAAGAATCAAAATGTGAACGCAGTAAATACTCTGCCCGCACTATTTAATTGCTGGCTGTAGTTTGCAGCGTGTGAGAAAAAGGCGTATTGACTGAACTCATTTCAGGATTTGTAATGGCTCTTTGAGTCAACAATAAATTATGTAGCATCACGAGTTATACCACAATACATTTGGCTGTGGGAAAATGACAGAAAGATGTAAATTAAGTTATTAGTGCTTTGATATTCATACTTTGGCTATAGAATAATTTATTACAATCATAAATACTTGTTAATGCAAAGTAAACCAGCAGACCGAGTTATATTGATTCAATTACCACAGATGCTGTATGTGTATGTGATTTCAAGTGTATAAAACCCAAACTGAGCCGGTACTGGTAGAATATCCACTATATAAAAAACAATCCTCATAGTTCCACTTATTGAGAAATAACACACCAAGAGTTTGAAATGACTGGGTACTTTCTCCCGGGGACAGTGGACAGGCTTGGTCTGTTAACTCGAGTGTTCATGAAAACTAGTTAACTCGTGTTACGATGCCCATCTGTGGCACTTGACTCCGTTTGGTTGGCTAATGAAACGGAAAAAGAACGAGTCTCTCCTCTTCTCATCGGCCCGCGTCTTCAAAGCTCTTTGTCAGCTTGAGGAAAATAGCAGTAACGCTGCTTTATTCCACACTTGGTGCCCATCAGTCGGGCTGCAGATCAAGCACCTGGGATCTGTCACGTCCCCGCTATGACTTGCCTTTGCTGCCACAGAAGCTTTTAATAAAAGGAGAAAAACAGTCCAATTTTCCCTCCACTTAAAGATGCCCATTGCTTCTTTGGGTTTGACAAGAGACAGGATGACAGCTAGCTGCCCCCCCACCCCACCCTCGCTCCCTCTCTTTAATTACACACAGATTGCAAGTTATGTCCGATTTAATTCCCTCAGAATTTCAACCAGTCTTCCCTCTAATGGCTTCAAAGGGGAGTGATTCAGGGGTGCCCGCTAATGAGCCTGATGGAAGGTGGGCGAGCTAGGTTTAGTTCTAATTAGTCTCTTTACTGTATGAATAATGCATAGGTTGCTGAAAGGCTGCTGGTCATTGTGGAGAGGATAATGAGAGAACAGTGTGTGGATCAGTGCTGTGTTTAGTTCAAAAATATTGAATAACCTCGTGTGAAGAAGCACATCGTTCTGATTATGCTAATGAGCAGTAGACCACAGTGAACACCAGAAGACAATAGAGGGTAGTTAATAACTCTGTTTTGTTTTGAAAGCCATTGGGATTCAATCGCATTTGTGTTTTTGTTGAGCACTTTAGTATACTCGTGTTCTAACTCCACATACTGTAGGTGTGTTTCTTTTTTTCCTCCACTTCGCTCCTTTCACTGGTGATATTGGTATAAGTCACGGACGGCCAGCTGGATTCCCACCATGCATTAGGATGTCTTATAAAAGCCTAAAATGAGCACCCTAAAAGCTGTCATTTCCCACGTTGTAGTGCACTCTCCCTGGATCCGGCTGCGTTTCACTGCCTTGCTCGGTGAACCCCTAAAAATCCAACCGTTTCTGGGCTGGATAAATTGAAAAAAACGCTGCGAACTTTGCTCCAATTGCCCCGTCCTCCTTTCATCTCCCCCGTCCCATTCACACACACACACACAGAGAGGACGGCAGGCTTGGCGACTAAGTGCACTTGGATAGAACAAAATGCTAGAAAGGAAAGGTAGCTTATGGGCTTATGGACGGTTCTTAACGAAAAAAAAACGTATTTTCTAGCCAGAAATTTAGAGCATCATCTGTTTGTTGGAGGTCTTATTTGGATGGGTAATACCAATGTCTTTACTTTGGGAGAGTATATACAGTATATATCGGTAAGTTGTATGCAGATTCAGCATAACTGCCCTGGTGATGAAGAACAGGCAGTAGACACTCCCTCCGACCGACTGCATGATGTGCACGTACATGATGCAGTCGTGACATCTTCCTCCTCAATATGGAGAGTGCTAGACTTCCTTCTATACTGGAGCTCCAACTCTCCATGGCCTTATTTAGCTAATGGCTCACAGATGGCGGCGGCGAGCAGATGCAGTTACCTCATCACACTTCGGCACAGGTGGTTCACTCAGATGGCATTTCACTCCGTTAGCCTGTAGCCTCCTTTAGGATTAGATTAGGCGTGTGTAGGATGAGGCCGTGTCGGGCCATACAGTGAATTATGTCGACTAAATGTTCCATGTCCTTTTTAAATAACATCTTAAATGTACTTCATGTTCATCATGATTGCTAATCTGTCTTGTTGCAGTGTTGACTTGCTAGCAGACTTCTTCTTCCCTGCCTTGTTGGCGTGTTACAGCCACCTGTATATCTGTTTAAAGATGTGAAATGTGTGTAAAGTACTTTTTTTTTTTTTTTTTTTTTTTTAAGGGTGATTACAGGTTAAAATGCTGTTTGTCTGTTTATATTTGTTTCACAAGTAGACTTCTAACTTTAATAGCTACTGGGGAAAGTAAAAAAAAAAAAGCTTCAACTAAAGACACTTTAACAAGAACCTCTATCATGTATGCAACTTAGCCATTTTCTCAGCAGTAAAAAAAAAACAACAATATCCTCCGGTATGTGTTTTAAAACAATCTCCCTCTTCTTCCTCCTGAGATTCTGGACCGAAAGAATGGTGAGGTTGAGGAGACGAAGAGCATTTATCGGGCCAAGCAGAAGGAATCGGAGGAGATGATCCGTAAGCTGGAGAGGAGAGGTGAGAGGTCACGGGCATTGCAGGGTTAACTGGAAGGATGTTTACACTGGTGTCTCTGAACACTCGCTGTAAAAAGCCCAAAAAGATACAACTCCACAAGAGACACTGCGTTGGGTGTAGAGTGACGTTCTCCAGCTGCGCTGTTTAATCTCAATTATAATCGCACAATGTCTGCCTTTTTTATTCATATCCTCTCTTCCTCCTCGCTTCTCTGTCTCTATCGTGTGTCTCTAAAAGCATTAGCTGAGAAACGTCTCAACTTGGCAAAGGAGCAGTGCTACTGGCCATTTTACTGAAGCAATATCTTTATTGACATTGATTTACTGACAGCGCATCAATGGGCATCACTGTATGTCTGTGTTTGAGTGTGTGTCTGTGTGTGTGTGTGTGTCCTTCCATCTGTGCACATACCCTGAGGCAGGGCCTGACTGCTCTCCGTGTGTGTGTGTGTGTGTGTGTGTGTGTGTGTGTGTGTGTGTGTGTGTGTGTGTGTGTGTGTGTGTGTGTGTGTGTGTGTGTGTGTGTGTGTGTGTGTTCCACAGTTCAAAGTGTGCTGCGGGAGTCCCAGGTCATCTGCGAGAGCAAAGAGAAGCAGATCGCTGAGCTGAAGAATATGTCGGATCAGAGCGCCGGCTCCCTGAAAAACGAGTGGGAGAAGAAGGTATGAGGAGAAGTTGAATGGTTTGGATATTGTGCAGCCCCTCCCCCCCCCCCGTAAGCAGCCCTGAGCCAGAGGAAGACTTTTTGATAGCTTGAGACTGGCAGACTTTGCTGGAAGCAGGCAAAGCTCTGCTGTACTGTTAGAGAATATATTTATTCTTTCATGCTGTGCTTAAGTTAATGTGTTGAAAAATGAATGCTCTCTGCTCTGGGTAAGTTGTGTTTCCACTCCTGATAGCTCTCGCTAACCGAGCTCAGTAAGATCCTAATGCAATCTCCACTCAGCTCTTCAGGGCCACTCAGCGTGTGACGAGCTACAATCTTTCTCAGATGTAATAATAAGAAAATCGACTTCGCCGTAGATAAATGTGGTTTATTCCCCTTGAATAAGCAAGACATTAAGATGCATAAAGAAATAGATTTTCAAAGAGACGGCGGCAAAAAGTAAATGAAGCAAAGTAGACGTGGAAATAAAAGGAAACAGATGTGCGACTGATGCATAGTTATCATCTGCCCCTCCAGCTGCATGCTGCTGTCACAGAGATGGAGCAGGAGAAGTTTCAACTGCAGAAGAAACACACTGAGAGCATCCAGGAGCTGCTGGAGGACACCAACCTCCGGCTGGCTAAGATGGAGGCCGAGTGTAACGCTCGGTCACACGCAACCGTGAGTACAGGAACGTGTGTTTAGCCCATCATGTAACATGATTCAACTTAGTTCACTCATGTTTATTCCCTCCGCCTGTCGAGCATTCGCTCGCTGCTGTTGAGGGAATTCATCTCAAACAGCAGCAAGGAGATGTTCAGACACCTCATGTGGGCAGATTATTTTTTATACCAAACACCAGACTTTCACTGGAACAAACAGGATTTTGGGTAAGGTGATGGGTGTATTTATGCATTAAATTCTCCCCTTGTTTAGCTCTAAGGAATGTGTGTACATGTGTAAAACGGTGTCCCGTGTCACTCCATGGCTCAAATGAAGGGAGACTTCCTGTAACCTTTGGGCGAGAATGACTCGCGTATCTCACCTCTGTCATCTTTAAAAAAAGGTCTTTGATCCAAGTGTGTATGCATGCAGACACACACACACACACACACACACACACACACACACACACTTCCCAAAGCTCCAGTTTCTTTGATGTCATATGAAAGGATTTGGGGTTTTAAGTGGGATCGTGCACATTACACTAATGGCGATCATCAACACCACGGGCCAGTTGAATACACTGCTTCATAAATAGTATTGTTATTAGAATCAGCAATTGTGGGCTTGCATACGTATCACACGTATCGCTTCTGGCCTTAATCTGTCAGCAGGCCAATATTTAAACGGCATCAAACACTGGACAGTGCAGGGCCGGTGGTGAGGCCTCTCTTTTAATAATTAAGGGCAGACGAGGCCCCGAGAGAATGAAAAGAGCCACTGTCACTGTAAATTAGCTGCTCTCCTGCTGCGAGTTTGGCCTGACACACACACACACACACACACACGTGCCTTCTGTAGGAAGATCAAAGTGAACTTTATCTCAGGTGAGTTATTACAGCACACTTGTTTTGTGGATGGCGTCTCCAACCCTAAATCTTTAGTATCAATGTCCTCTTGTGTTCTTTTCTTTGGAGAAAAGGTTCATTTTGCTCTGTTGACTTGTGGCCGATAGTAAAACAGTTCAAGATACCATTCAGAAGACCTGAGTTCAGACATGTTGTACTTGGAGATTATTCAGTCCTCCACCACTTTGACCCCGCAGCTTCAGTAGCTTTGCACAGTTAATGATACTGTATGCCGATTCGTTTCAGGCTGCTCCTCCTCCTCCTCTGCTCACTGTGAGGGGGAGACGTAGCTGCTAATAAAAGGTTCATGCCCAGAACACAATGTGCAAAGCTCGCTCGGTTCACAGTTAAAGTATCCGAGCCAAGACAAACTCAGGCTGATGATTCATTTTCCTTTTTAAATAGCAGTGAAATGAAGACTGTCCATCGGCCCAACGCTACCTGTTTAGGTTTCTAGCCGCGCAGATCAAAGATCTCACAAGGGGCTGAAAGATATGTCAGAGGTTGTTGTTTTTGGACGCAACCTATGAGCAGGTAGAGTGACTGAGTAGGTGTTTGAAAAGAAAGACAAGCCGGTATCTGTTTAGCTATTGCGCCATTCCAACTCTAGACTGTAGTCCATGCATGTCCGTAATTAAACTGACTGATAATGGAGATATGATTAATATGGTCTTGTGGTTTAGAGATGAACTAGTCGGAATAATCCTCTCTTTGTACTGCCGATAGTTGGCTGATTGTTGAGCTAGTATTTTGTTATTTCTTTCTGTTGTTAGGCCTGTGTACTTAAAGTCAATATTGTCTTAAAGTGGTATCAGCCTGAGACAACCAGATCTGCGCATCCCCAGTAACAGTCATGGTAAAACAGGCGTAAACGTTGCAGTATTAGTAGGAGCATTTTGGTGACACCTGTCCCACAAGTCCACAGTTTACTCTGTCTTCTTTTCTTATGTCTTCGTCCTCTTGCTGCTCCACCGCTCACACAACGTCCATGCATACACACACAGCCTGACAAGCCTCAGGAGATGAGTTCTGAGGCTGTCTTCCAGATACCAAAACTGTAAAAGTTCATCCACCATATGACTTTTTTTTTTGCTACAAAATTACATGTTTGTTTTTTTTTTTTTTTTTTTTCAAACTTCAAAGACTTTGTCACTTCTAAATCTCTGAAGGAGAGCAGAGCTCATACCATACCTCATGCAGTCTGCTCTTCACACCTTGTAATTCTCCTTCTAAAACACCTCATTAGGGGACGTGATTTGCTCCCTCCCGAGTGTGTCCAGGTGTGCCCCGGTCCAGCCTCGGCTCTCTGGCAGGAGATGAGAAGAAGAAGCGCCTCTCCATACTAAGTGTCAGCACGCGTCCCTGCACAACAGAGGCCCCCCTTGTTCCTCTCCTCGGCGCCCCTACGCCGCTAACACAAATATCTCTCAGCAGCCTCGCCGGGCGCTGCTCTCGCACTCCGTTCAAACACATGGCTCCCTGCTTTTTTTTTTTGCCGTCGTTCCACCTCCCTGTCATCGCCAGACTCTGTCATCGTCTAAATTGACTAGCGCGCTCCATCTTTAATCAGCGCCCCGTCATCGCCTTTATCAGCCTGCCCACGCCGCATTCCACGCTGTAACAAGCGCACGCATACAAAGACTCGTATGCAGGGGGACAGTATATGCACAGAGGGGATGTTTTCTCTTCGTCGGATCGGTTACCGGAAGAAGCTGTGTGCATCAGCTGGTCTTTGATCTTTGTCTTTATTGAAAATCTGAATCCTGTTTGAGCTTTGTGCTTACAGTGGAGTTATCTAATCTCAGCCTTAACACACGTGATTAGTTTGATTTAGTGTTCTGTAACACAAGTTGGACAGTGTACATTAAAAGTGTTTCAAATTACAGTGAAGCTCACTCTGGTCTGAACCTCGCCTTGTTTATATTTCCTAATTTCTAGAGAATGAAAGACAAACAATCAAAATGTTTCTCCACAGCACCGCATGTGGCCAGAAACTACGCACTGTACCTTTTTAAGCAGCTGAGACTTCAACAATCCTGTTACAGTCTGATTTAATTAATATGATAACTAGACACTATACACTTATTAAATAAGAGTTACATTGTACACCCCATTCCTCCACATTTCTGTGTCTCACGTCTACCGTGGGAGCATGCAACCCTCTGACCCGTGATGTGTTCTCAGGCTAGCGCCCTTGCTGGTTCAAGCTGCTTTGGTGCAGTGATTTCTGTGTATGCTTGCTGGTTTCAGGAGCAAACGGTGCGTGAGCTGGAGCTGCGGGTGAAACAGCAGTCCGTGGCGGTGGAGAAGGGCAACGCGCTGCGTCAAAGGACGACGCAGGAGAAGGCCCAGTTGGAGATTCACATTGTATCCATCAGCGTCGAGCTGCAGGAGGCCAACAGACGGTCTGTGAAATTAGAGAGCGATAAAGGGGGGAGAGGGTACTATTTTAAACTATGTATTTGTGACATGTTACTGTCAGAATGCATGTAAGGCGCCAAGAAACCCTTTAAATCTGCTGAGACCAAACTAGAGCAACAGGGAGGGGAAGTGACTCGTGTAATTCTTTAATTGGGGAATAGTAACAGGTTATGTGTTAACCGCCCTGTCGTGCTCTTTAACTGTCAACAGACATCTGATCCTGCAGAAGGAGAAGGAGCAGCAGAGTGAGCAGCACGAGCAGACCGTGCAGAAGCTCCAAGCCAAACACGAGACTGACATGAGCCACTTGCATAAGGAACATGCTCTGTCTGCTGCCAAGGTCCACATTACCAGAACACCTCGACAACACTCTCCCTCCCAGCCTGACAAACATACAGTTATATACAGGAGGAGTATTTATCAATTTCCTCTCTGTTTCTCTCTTCCAGTCCTCTGAGGTGATGGAGGACTTCGAGAAAAGTATAGCGCTACTCAAACAGCAGCTCCAAGACAGTCAACACCGAAGACGCCAACAAGTCAGGGTACGATTTTTGGGGGGGGGGGAGTGTGGCATGTTTTAAATGTTAAAATGAAGGTTAGAATGGGGGTTGTCTTTGTGGTGTATCACCGTATCACCTCTGCCACACAGTATCATTCCAACTCTGCTTCCTTCTAGGATCAAGAGATGAAGTTTCACCAGGAAAAGGACGAAGTGCGGATCAACTGTGAGAAAAAGGTAGTGTGTGTGTGTGTGTGTGTGTGTGTGTGCGTGTGTGTGTGTGTGTGTGCGTGTGTGTGTGTGTGTGTGTGTGTGTGTGTGTGCGTGTGTGTGTGTGTGCGTGTGCGTGCTTCAGAGAAAGCGATCCACTGAGCTCCGTGGCGTCTGTCGTTGCATTAAAACAGCCCTGGACACAGTTATTACGGTCAAGTGGAGATCAAAGCCCGGAGTCACATGTTCCTTTTTTCGTTCCCCTTACTTTTATGTCTGGTCTCGTAAAATCAGGGCCATGATTAACAAGTAGATGGAGGACTGGGCGAAGAAGAAAGAGAGCAGGATGGGAAATGTACGATTTAGAATAAAAGGTAGAAAGTTGAGAATGGGGAGTTATAAGGAAATCTGAATAAGCTTGTAGAGTCACTCTGCAAAAGAGCACGTTGAAAAGAGACATTTCTCTCATTGAAGTGTGCACTGTCAGTGTACCCGGGCCTACACTTAATTGCCTTTTACTTTTGAGGGACCCACTTCAAAGCCACAGCGCAGCTGTAAACCATAGAGTGAAGAGACCACTCTTAACAATCTGAGCCGGACCAGACCGGTCCAAGCCAGACTTCTTAGGTGAAAGTTGGGTTTTAAAGACCTGCTGCACCTGGGTCATCTTCAAAGTGCCAGATTGTTCTAATGTGTGTGCTCGTGGCAGGCTGGTGTACCCAGAGACGGGGCCCCCTTCTGGCTGAGACACCTGCAAGAACTTAGCAGGCCTTTGTGCACTTCACTCAGGGTCAGGGAGAATTTCAATTAAGCTTCTCCGAAAGAAAGTCAGTCGTTTTGTGTGTTTCTTTTATCCCGTCCTTGTAATATTCTTCTGGACGGTAAGAGGAGATTTAAACAATGAAGGAAAGAGGAGTCAGGGGTTCACTTTCCCATGAAAGATTCCTCTTCCCACTCCTCAGGAGTGGTAAACGAGATGGCGTTATGGAGGCCAGAGTACGGTATCTGGACGTAACAGGGGCCCATATGGCTGCCACAGATCCAGAGTGAGAGGCCCTCTCTGATGGGGTGATAGAGAGAAGAGACGAGGCCAGATGCACAAGGTCACAGAGAGCAGAGTTTTGTTGAGTGATGTTTGATGGTGTCTGCTTGTGCACTCACTTCCACCTCTCTCTATCTCTCTCTGTCTCTCCCCCTCCCTCCCTCCCTCCTTCAGGTTTTGGCAATCCAGAATGAAGCAGAGAAGGAGAGAACAGAAGCAAAGAGGAAGATCGCCAAACTAGAAGATGCACTCAGGTACAGCGAGAAAGGCCGAAATATAAGTGGTAATTGTTGTAGTAATAACAGTGAACCGTTTTTAATTAGTACTGATTAGAGTTAATAATAAAAAATGCAGTATTTCCTGTGGCTAAACATTGATCCTGCATTTATTGATGGGAACATTACATTTTGGATACTCTACTCAGCATTAGGGTTCATGAAAACAAAAAGCTTCACCCACACACACTTTACTGGATCAGTTCTAATATCGTTTTCACATTGGTGAGAACGATCAGTGTGTGTGTGTGTGTGCGTGTGTGCTCTTCCTCCTTTGCTGTTGCTTTTCACATAGAGTGCAAGCTGGATGCTCCAGATATAACAGAACGTAATACAGTCGGGGAGACTGTTGGGAAAAGATGTTTGCGTGTGCAAACGCAGATCTAAGAATATCATCAAAACACCGCGATAACGCCTCGGGTTATTTGACAGGTTTATGGACAAATGTTCTGCTCTATTACCGTTTGTACTGAAGCTGCCC